ACGCATAGCAAGCCTTGGTCGAAGGGTACTGTCGATTATTGGGATTGGACAAGTGGTGACAAAATCTGTAAATTCCACTGGTAGCAGTGGTCCCAAAATGTCATCTCCGACTCCAAGTCTTGCTGGACTGGCTCGTTCATCATCATGGATTGACATGCATGCAGGTAACTCTTCTCTTTATATCTTTTTACATGATTGTACTGTCACTCCAAGCAAGTGATTGTGTCATCTTAGTTATCTGCACCTTTATCTTTTGATCTTCTCTAATCTTTAATTTTGGAATATTTTTGACAGGTCACATTCCTTTGACATTCAGAACTCCTCCTGTCAGTCCTCCACGATCAACCTACCTAACAGGAATGCGTAGGGTGTGTTCTTTGGAGTTCAGGCCGCACCTTATGAATTCTCCAGATTCAGGATTAGCTGATCCTCTTTTAGCTTCTGTTGGATCTTCTGGAGGCACAGAACGGAGTTTGCTTCCTCAGTCAACTATCTACAATTGGAGTTGTGGTCACTTCTCAAAGCCGCTTCTCACCACACCGGATGATTCTGAAGAAATATTAGTTAGAAGGGAAGAAAGGGAAAAATTTGCACTGGAACATATTGCCATGTGTCAGCACTCTTGTGTGTCTTTCTATTTGTTTTCTCTTCTTTTATTTATTTATTTATTTTTGTACGAGGTTTTGGTTGAGCTGATGAAATGTTCATTTTTCTTGGCCAGCTGTTAGCAACCTTAATAACAGAATTGCTAGTTGGGATACAAAGTTTGAAACTGGTACAAAGACAGCCTTGCTTCAGCCTTTCTCTCCTATTGTGGTTGCTGCTGACGAGAATGAACGAATTAGGTAAGCCAGTCTTTATTCAATACATCTTTTATGGAGTATTATTTTAGTTTCTCATGGCTGTCTGTTTTGACATGCCAAGTATGGTCGCAGATTAATGACATTGTATGATGTCATGTTTTCAAAAGTTGGGAAACTTGCATACATTGTACAATATGCCATCAGGAACTACTTCTCAGTGGCTCTGGCTTCTTGCTTAACTTAATCTTTAGTTCTGTTTATCCTGTTACCTTTTGCATCTAGTAAGAACAATTCAGCATGTATTCTACCTAAATTCAACTGATACTACAGAAAGGCCTGGGCAAACAAAAACTGGAGTATGGATTCTTTTGTTTTTTTCCCTGGTGATAGGCAAATAATTTTTAATCTTTTCTCTGATATTGATCTCTTGAGTGATGTGTGATGCTTGTTTCTTTGAAGGGTGTGGAATTATGAGGAAGCTACCCTTCTCAATGGGTTTGATAATCATGATTTTTCCGACAGAGGAATTTCAAAGCTCTGTCTTGTAAACGAGCTAGATGACAGTTTGCTCCTTGTTGCTTCATGTAATGTTTTTTTACTGATTTTCAATTCATTTCATGGTGGCTAGACTGGTCCTTTATTAGAATGCTAGGAATCATTTTTGCCATGTTTTTGCTAAAGATGATGGAAGTATACGGATTTGGAAAGACTACACTGTGAAGGGTAAGCAAAAGCTTGTCACTGCATTTTCTTCAATCCAAGGTCATGGACTTGGTGTGCAGAGTTTGAATGCTGTTGTGGACTGGCAACAACAATCTGGATATCTGGTACATATTTAATTGTCTTTTGTACTGTTTTTATATTCGTAATGTGATGTTTATAATAGTTTCTTCTATTTTTAATGTTGCTTTCCTAGTATGCTTCGGGGGAGATACCATCCATCATCATGCTTTGGGACCTGGATAAAGAGCAGCTTATTCATTCTATTCCTTCCTCGTCAGATTGTAGCGTCTCAGCAATGGTGAGTTTTGTTGTTTCCTGGGGTTGTTTTTGAAAGTAGTGTCATTCTTTGCTACAATAGATAATAGCAGAACTAAGTTAGAATTTACGAAAAGCGGCAAATTTAAAACATGGTAGTTTTGAAGAAATTCTTTAGTTCTTTTGTTTATGGTGTGCTTGTGGATGTGAGAATGGTTCATGACCTTTCGTACCTCATTTTTTTCTTTCTGATTATTTTACTGTTCAAGTTTTATGGGGTAGGCTCTCATAAAACACCACTGTTATCATTACCATGTAATAACACTAAGAAAACGTTATCATGCATGTACCTATTGGTGGTAAAATGCAGATGTGTGATTGGCTATAGGAGCGCTTTAACGAATACCTTTCTTTTCATTTGTGACAATGATGCTTGCTGGATACATTAAATGTTGTCTTACAGATTTTACCATTGTCTTTTGCTGATGTTCAATTTTTAACTGATTGTGCTTGAGAGCTTTTCCCTATCATCATAAACCGTGGAGTCAAAAGAAATCTTGTCAAGGTTTGTGGAAAGCTGTTTCCAACTGAATGAAACCCAGCCTTGGATCCAAAGTCTTGCTTCTCTGTTCTGTTCTAATGAGTGCTAGGTGTGGTTTTTTTTTTGTTTCAATTTTCTACCCTCTTACTCCAGTATTCAAAATGTGCAATACCGTTACTCCATCTGATAAACCTTTTTCTCTTTCTGGAATTGCTGTTGCAAGGAATAAAAATAAACCTCAGAGTGGTGTATGTAGAATACTCCATAAACTTTTAGTTTTCCTTGCTACAGGTTTCATCCATTATAATCATATAATCTGCAAATAATAAAAATCATGGTGTATCATCTTGAATATGGACAATTTCTCCATCACGAAAGCAAAAGGTAGAGGCTGCAAACCAAAAGGACTGTCCGGATGGTAGATTCTTGGTGCTACCCAACCATGATGGATAAATAGTTCATGTCCCTCCCAATAGTTCTCACCCTTGTAATTGTCCTTTATACGTTCACACTTGTTCCCCAGCTCCACAATAGGACCTCTGTTACATTATCTAGAGTGATAGAAAGTTTATGGAGGTCTCTTTTTTTTCTTTGTATTTGCATCAGCCTCATTGGGAATAATATAGCCTTCATAGTTGCCTGGCATAGAAGTGAATTAGTTTTCTCATGGAGTAGCATTTTAATGTGCTGCTCTGGTGCTTGTCAAGGATTATTCTCCTTCACCATTTATTTGCATAGCAATTTGCTTTCTATAGCCAGTGACTAAACATTGCAGTTCTTGGTACTATTTCAATAGCATCTTCAAATTGAATTCGTATGGATAAGGTTGTTCCATGCCCAAAATTGGTTATGGGCAAAGATTATGTATGTAAATCGCAATCTTGTCCAGATTTAAGAAAATGTTTATAATTTTTGTGCACTATTGTTTCTGCCACCATATCAAGCATCCATATCTTTAATAATCTTTTATTTATTGCTATTTGGTAGTTTATTTCATATCCGCTGTCATCATTAGTAACTTGTCAAATCTGTTGAATGATCTTCATTTATGTTTATCTGTGCAGTCTGCTTCTCAAGTTCATGGAGGTCAATTTACTGCTGGTTTTGTGGATGGGTCTGTCAAACTCTATGATGTCCGAACACCTGGAATGTGAGCACTGCTTGTAAAGTGTTCCTCTGGCTCTGGCATGGCATAAATGTTTGCTTGTTTTTGACATTTTGATAAGCTTGTTACTGTTGCTACTTTTTTTATGATAACAATCCCAAATTCAAATAAACTGGTTCCTAATGCTTTACAGTGAAACAAGTAATGGGACTGTATGTGATGAAACGAGTTGGGGATTCCTATCATATGATGAAATATGTCGATCTTATTATAGACCAGACTATTCAGTAACTTCTATTGCAAGCTCAAAAGATATATTACTTTGCATTCCCTTCTGTTTAACTGTTGTATTTTTTCTAATTTTAGGCTTGTTTGTGCTACTCGGCCGCACACTGAGAATGTAGAAAAAGTTGTGGGGATTGGCTTTCATCCCGGGCTTGATCCTGGAAAGGTAACAATTGCACTTTGTGATATACTTGTTTGTTTAGACAGCTGGTGGATTTGTATCTTGCCTTGCCACAATTCTCCTTTTCTCTTGTTTTCTTTCAGATTGTCAGTGCATCCCAGGCTGGTGACATGAAGTTCCTGGATATGAGAAATTATAGAGATCCCTATCTCACGATCAAGGCCCACAGGGGCTCACTCACAGCTCTAGCTGTTCATAGGCATGCCCCTATTATTGCCAGTGGATCGGCAAAACAAATTATTAAATTATTCAGTCTAAATGGTGAACCATTAGGCTCCATTAGATACCACCTAACCATAATGGCCCAGAAGATCGGTCCTGTAAGCTGCCTCACCTTCCATCCTTACCAGGTCCTCCTTGCTGCTGGTGCTACTGATGCTTTATTCTCCATCTACGCCGATGACAACACTCAAGCAAGATGAAAGCACACTTCTTTACTGGTTGACTATGTCGTAGATTTTTGGTGGCTGCACAAGCACTGAATGATTTGTTAATGTCACCGATGGTAGTTTATGGCTTCAGATGTGACAGTCGACCATGCCAACACCTGTTTGCTGAAACACTGATTTGACGTCCTGAATCGTGTGCCAGATATTTCATCAGCCTCCAGTGCTGAGGGTCAGATGGTGAGAAGAAGTCCTGCATGGTGTGGGTGGAGGCAAAAATGTGTGTAAATAGTTTCTTTTCCTTCGGTGTGTTCATTGATCCTTATATCTCCTTGTTCATTTTTATAAGCAACACGTGTCACTACATAATTGGAAGTGTTGCTAACCGATGTTGATAATCAGTTTATCATTCAATCCCAGAATATTTTAATAGGTTTATGGTTCGATGGGCTTTTGTATAGCTTGTAATTAACTGTCGAGTTTGCCCCCTGTAACCCCTTGACCCTTTGAAAAATTCTCTTGTTTCAATTATCCAGCAAGGCCTGGAATGGTGTGATTAAGATGTTAAAGACAGGATGATGCCCCACCTTGTATCATCTCGACCATAAAACTAGAGTGATAAAAATGTATTGCGGCGTTTAATATTCTGAGAAGACGCTATAGGCAAAACTGGACATCTATATACCAAGAACATGTTTGTTTGATCACACCATGGAATGAGTGATGAAGCCAGCTACAAGCTTCCAATGAAGAGCCTGGCTACTTTTCGCAATTCGGGTTAATTGAAGATCAAAACCACTAAATCCCACATCAATTTCATATAACATAGGCAAGTGCTTAGATAACCAGCAGAAGCTACCCAAGAGTTGGATGGACGACCCATCAATGGGGAATGGAGAGCTATTATCGCCTCAACCTCCTTCGGTACATCTAAAAATGAACCTTCTTACACACCCCAAACTGAAAGACCACACAACAGGCAGTAGCCATATTCACAAAGATATATCCAGTTTGTGCGCCCTATTCCCCACTAACATTTCACTTGCTCCCACCCACCATACCTTCGCCAGATGATCCTGACAAGCTTGGTGGTCTGCTGCCAGTCATTTTATACCTCCATCTGCATTTCCAAGAACATTTAGATCTTCAAACAACCTGTATGGAGGAACAAAGGACTGCTTTTGTCCTGGAGCTGCAGGTATCCTAGAGGCGGAACTCATCCAAGGATCACCACTCATGGTTGATCCATTGCCTGCTTTTGTGGGAAATGAGTTAAATTGTTGCACAGGTCTAGCAGCTTGCACCGGTGTATAAGATGCAGTTTTGTTGGCTCGGGGAGATGAAAACATATTATTTGTAGCAGACGTGTGATTTTGGTTGTTGAGATAACCAGTTGTAGCTGCCCAGGGTGGAGGTGGGTAGCAGGACGAGTACAGCTGAGGCTGACGCACTGCTTGCTGCTGGGGTTGAGGTTGCAACTGTTGCAGTGGTTGAGATGGAGGTGGTAACTGGTGCTGCTGAGTTTGATGCTGTAACTGGGGTTGAGAAGGAGGTCGTACTTGGTGCTGCTGAGTTTGAGGCTGGGCCCATGGAACGACATAGCTGTTGTATGGAATGGGCCCATGGTTTACAGGATAAGTTCGAGAAACATACGGATAACCTTGTGTATTGGAGGAAACATGTAATTGAGGCATGGTTTTGGAGATTGGTGGGGTGTGAGGGGAGGTTGATGTTGACAAGGTGAGGCTCAAAAGGTCAATCATATCCTGCTCTTTCATGGTTCTTACTGGTGCAGGTGGGTCAGGAAGAGCCAGAGCATTGCGTGGGGAAGAGGTTGATGCAATGGGCACGCCAGCATTCAATGGCACAAGAGCCCCGTTTGTTCCACATGAGCTTTGAGATGACATGGAACGTGTTTTGGAATGCCTGTGTTCACAGAACAAAACAAGTGCAATTACTGCTTCGAGATAAACCAAAGTCTTGGTAAACAGCCATGATGCAGAGCATGAACAAAGGAAAACGGATAAATAATTTGTAAATCTCCATAAAGGTTGGCCAGCTACCAAAGTAAAATAAATTGAGTGGTCTTTTATTCACCAATTACTGCTCCTGTCGCTCCACATACTGGCCATAGTTATGGTCAAAGTTTATTTCCTACCTCGTGATTGCTTCATGATGGGTTCCAAAGTGGTAGAACTGCTATCTCCCTTATGTATGTAATGTGAAAATAATTTAAAAGTTCAGGTCACCAATGAAAAATTATATAAGATTATTTTCATAAGCATGAGCTACCTCCGAGCTAGCTGTGCGAAGCCATCCTCCTCTTCATCATCTTCATCTATAGCGCTCCTTGTCACATTAGGAACTGGTGTGGTGGAATTAGTTGTAGATCTTGGTCTGGCATCCCTTGCTTCAGTTGGCTTGATGTCTGAGGACCATCCTTCACTTGGTTTGGAGCATAAGCTTGTAACTTGAGTTGGCATTGGAGAGCCAGAAGCAATAGCATCATGTTTTGCAAGCAAGATTTGCAGACTGTCATTTAGTTCAAGACCCTTGCCAAGAAGTTCCTCGTCCCTGCATCATGACCAAGATACTTTCAGAAATTCATGTACCAGACTTGCATGGGATCAACACTCGCATGCATGGAGAAACAAAGACAAGCATACAGTTACCAGTCTTATATCAAGAACATGTTTTCAGAAAAATAGACATCTAACGAGCAACTGACCCAGTTGTAGCTAGCATCTGCATCAATTTTTTCTGGTTCGACCTACACCGGTCGACAAGATCAACTATCACTTCATCTTTTATAGCCTGAGAAGACAAGCAGGACCACATCTCAAATATTTTCCTCAATTGTTTCGCTAAGGTAAAAAGCTCACTGCACATACCTCACAGTTTCCAGGGTTAACAGCTTGCAGCATATCATTCAAGAGCTCCATAACATCCCACATGGAATCCAAGCCTGACAAACTATGATAATTGAGAAAAATATCAGTCAATAAAAAACATGAGATTTGGCAATTTTGAGAATACATCATAGACAAATACAATGTGTAAACCAGCAGTTGATCCTAACCTTAAGCCTTCAATCTCTGCAGCCATTGTTTCATCAAGTCTTCTAGAAGAATTGCTAGGCATTCCATAACCAGGTTGGGTAAGCCTCAATGTTGGATTGGTTGCCGGTGGTGTAAATATTGGAGCCGCATCTAATGATCGCTGGGGAAATTCAACTCCAGCACGCTGCCATTCGCACACCCCGTAACTAAAAATTAATTTTTCTGTACAGATTCCATGTAATATGGCATAATTTGTTAATTAACTACTATGAATGAAAAAACTTTTGATCTGGCTGTCATAAAAGTATGTAAGAGCATATGAGCAATATTCCATCCGAAGGATTGGGCTTGCATCTCATTTGAATGCAACCATCTATAGCATCATTTGAAGGCACTCTTATTATGAATCATGCATTGAGACCATATCTTTCTAGCATTAAAAATTAAATTAAAAATCAAATTAAAAAATTGACAGCGCACTGTAATCCACAACAATATTTGGTTGGATACAAAACCTATAAATTATGTTTAGATCAGGGGCTTATCATTCTAGCATTCAATGATTATTGCCCCACTTCCAAAGTCAACCGAGTAAAAATTTCATGCAAGAGTTGGCACACATACTGAACCCAGCAGGAGCACATCAAATAAAATAATAGAATATTTTAGCGAGATACTTGCCCTTAATTCCTCATATGCCCAATAATACTGAGGGTGTTTTCCTCCAGGCCCACCAAATGCCTCTTGCCAAGAATCAAGCAAAGCCAGAATCTTATCTCTCACATGCATATCTGTCTGCACAACCAGTTAAAATGTGTTAAGTTAAGATCAAGGCTTCCCCCAACCTAGCCCCTTTTTCGTTTTTTATGAAGATCGATTAGATGAGAAAAATACAAACATCAATGTTTCGATTTTCTCATGAAAAATCAACCACATTCAATCTTATTTGAGATCAATGGAGGCCTCAGACAACATAGCTGGGAATTTTTCCCATCAAAACCAAATAGCTCATTGAGCACTGTGGTTTTTATGGCAAAGGCACCAATAAGTGGCAATTATATCAAAACAATTTATATGTTATCCTAGTTAAGATGGGCCAAAACTTTTGCTTATACTACTCTTAAATAAACCTAATTACAATTTCTCCCGAAATATTTTGGCTGGCCTAGTTAAAAGGTTTGAGATGAACAACCATTGCTGGAATTTCCATAAAACACACAGCTTAACAATGTATCAATTGCAAAACACAAATGGCTCCACCTCTTTATGTATATGCACAACTCCAATTGACTATTAGACATTCTACTGACATTTATTCTTTTGGTTGCTGGAGTTCAGAATTTAACATCTTGAAAACAGAATGGCTACAGAATTACAATTACGAAGGATTCTAAAGAAGGGAATCATATATACTGATTTCTAACACATATTAAAAAAGAAAACAAAAAGGAGTCTCTACAGAGATGGTAAAATTGACGATAATTACTTCTAGCAAGAATTCAAGGAGTTACCTTCTTCTTTATGATTTTCACCATTTCCCCCAATACATTCTTTTCAGCAATTTGAAAATGGACATAATCACCACAGTTCTTCACCAATGTCTCCAAAAGCTACAGAGAAAATTTTGCACTCAATCAAGCAAACCCAAAAAACCAAAAAAGAAGAAGAAGAAGAAGAAGAAAGAAAACTTTATAAACAACAGAGCTTCCTCGAATGCCGAATAGATAATTCAAATCCATATTTTGGTGCAATAATCAAAAGAATTTCACATTCCAAAACACACATTTGAATTCGACAAAACCATAATCGAAATAATAAAAGCTTAAAAAAAACATAGAAAAATTAGTGAATTCAAGAAAACAAAAGGCTACCGTCAAAGTGAGTAGTTGGACTTTAGGGCTCTTGTGCTGCAACCTTTTCTTCAAAGCTTTCACTACATCTTTGGCTTGCCTGGTATATATATATAAAAATAAATAAATAAATAAATAACCAATCTCACCAAACAACACAACATCGAGTCTAAAAAAACCCATTTGATAAAAAAAACACCATTTCTTCTTATAAATTATTTCTCATAAAATTAAAATTCTTTCCGGAAAAACAAAGCATACTGATTAACCGATAACAAAGAAGTAAGCTTCAATTTCAGTTACAACACCTAAGAGAATTAAGAAGCAGAATCTTTAACACGTACGTATACGTATAAACATACGTATACAAATGCGCAGGGTAAAAAAAACCCACCTGTTGTCAAAACGTGAAATTCTGAATAAAAACATAAAAGAGTTAAAAGAAGAAGCAAAAAGGAATTACCAGTGATGAGAATTAACGGAGTCACAAATATCAATATTCATGGTCCAATCAGGACCGATTAAAAGATCGCATGTTGCTTTATCAACGGCAACTGTTGCCGAAGAAGACGAACCCAAACCCATCCCCATAGCAAGAGCCATCAATCTCTCTCTTTCTTTACTTGTGTTTAGCTCGTTTTCTGGGAGTGTTGTTCGACGACAAAATTGAAGGTGACAGTGATGATGATGATGATGATGAAAAGAAAGTCTCTCTCTTTCTTTCTCTTATTAATTATTTTCTTGTTTGGCAGGAAAGAAAATAAATCTAGGCCTTCTTGGTTGTTTTCCTTCTCTCTTTTCTTTCTTTATCTGGGTCACTTCTCAATTCTCATTGATTTTCTCCCCTTTCTTTTCATTATTTTTTGACTCGCCATTTTCTTTCAGCCTTCTCTTCGCGGAAATGTCGTTTCTTTATTTCCTTTCCTTCTTCTTATTTGTTCTTATAAATTATTTTATTAGTTGATAAACAAATTTATGTTGCCTTTCCTTCTTATTTGTTCTTATACATTATTTTATTAGTTGATAAACAAATTTATTTAAATTAGAAAAATTGTCTTATTTCATACAGAATCTGATCCTGCCTTCTGCTAATTTATTTTAGTTTTACGGAACAATTTTATTTTTCAGGGTTTTTTTATAATTTTTTGTTTGTTTTACATTTTGAAAAAATTTAATCTCTTTTTATTTTTATTATAAATTTATGCTTTTTAATACTTTGATATCTTTTTAACATAACATAGTAATATTAAAAATAATTTTTTTTTTAATCAGAATAACTTGAGAGTGAGAGAAAGTAGAGGGGGGGCTTAGAACGGACAAAAATGATTGTCAGAGGTCAGAATCAATCAGGGTGGGGTTGTCTGTTAAAGAAAAGTGGAGGTCAGTTTTGTCATGCAACCCCCAAAATATGGATGGACCAAAAATCTTCTCAGCATTCTTAGGGATATTGCCAGAATGAGACATTGAGGTGATAAGAGAACATACTGTAAACAGAGGTTTGTTTTGGCTGTTTCCAAGCAGTTCGATTTTACTTGTAATAAAGTTCATTCATGCCAAATACTGCACGCTGTCCCACTTCATCAAATATTTTCCTGCCAGGTTTTTTTTTTTTTTTGGAGAATCCAGGTTTGATATAGTATTATTTTTTTTAATGAAATATGGGAAAAGTGGTGAAAAATAATTGTTTATATAAATAAATATAAAAAATCATTAATAATAAATCACCCAATATTTTAAGATGGCCACTTAGGTTTTGTTTCACATTGCAATCCAACAATATTTTTAAAAAGTTTTAAATTTTTTAGTTTTAAATTATTTTATTTTTTGTGTTTTTGAATTAATTTGATATATTGATACCAAAAATAAATTTTAAAAAACTTTAAAATATTATTTTGATATATTTTTAAATAAAAAATATTTTAAAAAGTAATTTTTATCATATTTTCAAATAGTCATTTAACCTAACATGGTATATAAAGGTGATAAAAATTAAAGAGTTCTCCACATTAAGGTTTCTTAATTTTGAAATTATAATCTTAAACTATATAGAGGAACCTCATATATTTCTTGAAATATTTGTAATTAAATAATTTAATGAAAAAAATAACACATTAACTGTTTATAAAGAGTACTAACTGTCTATATAGAGTGTGAAATGATTTAATAAAAAATTAAATTTAAGTTGAAAACATAATTACTAACTTAGAAAAATAATTAAAATAACAAAAATAATATCTTTTAAATCTACTTTAAGGGTCTTTCGATCCCCGGATCTTGGCTGAAAATAGTCAAATACCTCCTAAAAAACTAGATTTGTAGAATTATTAAGTAAAATTTAATAGTGAAATAAAAAATTATAACCCGTTTTTTATTATAAAAATTGCTTGAACGCCCCAGTCACAACCCCTCCGCTCTTAAGTGGTGTTTGATTTATTTCAACCGTTCATAGGTGTTAATTTAATTATTATTTTAGCTAATCGAACAACAAGCTTAGAATCCATTTATATCAGATTTTATCAAAAAAATAAAAGAGAAAAACAAACCAGCCTCTATTTCAAAAATAAATAAATAAATAAATAAATGACTTTTGATTATACAAGATCTTAATAGAATGATGTTCAATTACCTACAACTCTAAAGGAATCGAGATTTTTTTCTGTGCTTCACCGTCTTCTTCTTTTCTTTTTTTCATTTTCAAATGTTTTTCTCCTTCCAATTACATTCTGCAATGGTCTAATTAGATGGAATTAATATTGAAATTATGGTAGAAGTAATACATCAAAAGAAAAAGGGGCCATACGGTAAAACACAAAGAACAATAAATAAATTTGATTCAAAATTCTTGTTAATGCTTGTTTCGATTTACAAGTTAATTTTATTCATTTTAGATTTCTGGATGAAAAGAACTAGTTGAGAAACAATGAATAGAGAGAGAAAATAATTAATTTTCACGATTATAACTCTAAAAACAATCAAGTTTAGTATTCAAATATTCTATTCGGCTAAAAAAGTTAAATAATATTGGTTGTTAACATTTAAATTTGCTGAAAAAATAAATTGAACTTTGAAATATTTAGGATCTCGGGTTAATATTTTATTTTAGATATTTTTAAAAAACTTTAAGGGCACAAATAAGTTAACTGAGTTATGTATGTTGTTTTTCATATGTTTTCGTATAAAAAATAAATTGTAAAATGAGTGGTTTGATTAAAAAAACTAAAGGAGATTTTTTGCTCATTTTCCGGCTGTAAGCAAGCAAACAATGAGCCATTTTCCTCATTGGACGACACATTATTTGCTCCCTTAATTAAAAAAGAAGCAAGGCTAGGAGTTGAGCCTCACCCTTTTATGTCATTTTTTTTGCTCCGGAAAACCAATGGTTACCATGTTGATTCACTAACTCTGAAGTTTTTATATGTTCTTATACAATACTACATGGTTTTATTTGAATTTTAATAATATTTTTTGGTTTTATTTGAATTTTAATAATATTTTTTTCATTATCATGTATCTAATATGAAAATAATAATATTAATAATAAGTTATTCATGAAAATTCCACACAAATCATTTTTTGTTTTTAAATATATTTTGAACATGGTTATAACATATTTAAGAGTTTTTTAGCTTTCAATCACAAATAAAATACGAATATAATATTTTGATATTTTTTTTAATTTACTTTGACAATTATAAAATATTTTTTTAATAAAAATCATGATTTCAGTTTAAAACCTTACATTTTGGCATGCCATCATTGTCCATTAATGGGGCATATCCAGCCCAACCACTTAAATATTTTAAAAGAAAATTAAAATTTTTTCATACCAAATTAATATTTTTTTATTTTGATTTAAAAAATAATGATAATTACATGAAAAATCATAAATGAAACTGAGGCTGCAGCTGCGTACCTGACAGACGGATCCTAAGTCTTTGTAGTTAGTGTACAGCCTGACAGCTTCTTCTTCTTCTTCTTCTTCTTCTTTCCTATTTTTTAAAACCCGTAGGCACTAGCCTCTACCAGCAATTCTTTATAATTACTTCCATTAACACGTGCAAGTATTGTGGTAGAAGATGGAGGTGCTTTTCCTGTCATAGGCAAGGCAAAATCTAGTCACCCTCGTCCCCATCATTCGTTACAGGGCCACCGCCATCATGGCGGACGTCATGGAAATACAGTCATCCTCCAGCCTGCACGATGAGAAGGGCCATTGCCTTTTGGAATTTGACCTTTCCCTTTCCTTTTTCAGAATTATTACATGTATCTTTAAAAATCCCTCCATGGTGGTGATAATTGCGTCTGGCCATACCTCTCGACCGTTGCATCCACCTTCAATTTTAAGTGCATGCTTAGTGTAATAAATAATTTATTTACGTCAAATCGCTGGATGCAGTGCAAGGTCCACTTGAAATTATGATCAGAAAGGTATTTATAAAAATAATTTAGACTATGAAGATATTATTTAATGCTTTTTTTTATATATATCTTTCTCCACCACATTCTTTTTATATTACCGCTTTTTTTCTATTTTTTCATTACCTTCTCGCACCAGTTCTTTTTATTTTATTTTATTTAGACTCCTGTCACCCTCAATTTCTTAAACTTCTTTATTTAGTTTTTAGATAGGTAACTTCTACTATACCATTAAAAAATATAATTTTTTTAATATAAAAAATTATTCGGGTAGCACTAATATTTTAAAAAAACATTGAAAATAAATAAAATAAATAAACAAGGTGGGAAACTTCAAGCTTGTCCAAACACATATGCTCAAACATAATCACATTAATGGGTCAACCAAGTCCTTAAGTAAGATCATTCAAGAAGTCACTACTCAAAATGTCCATGCTTCATTGTCTCCTACCCGCAGTATATTAAGTCTTCTTAAACACTCATTGTTCAACAACTAAAATAACTTCAAGTTCTTTCTACTCAATTTCTTGATACTCCAATTCAATGTTGCCAAACTAATAAAAGATATTTTATTGCTTTTGTGTAGTAAATTACAAGCTTAAGATTATTAACATGTGTTTTCTTGCTTCTTGGGAAACCAATTGAGAGCTGAGATGGGAGCGAAATACGGGCAAAAAGTTAGTTTTCTATACATGTTTTTGAAAACCAAAATCTTTGCAAAACTAGAAACAAAACAATGCCATTTCACTTGAATGTTTTATTTAATGTGAAACAACATTGTTTTTTTGCTTTAATTAGAGTTATGTTTTTCTATTTAAAATCATCCCGAACTTTATATTTGTCCTCCTATTTCAGCACCTTTTACACTTCAATCATTAGAATTTGAATTTTTCTATTTTTGGTTAATTTTCATCCTTTTCTTTTAATTTCTTTTGATTTCACCATGATCAAATTATAACATGTCACTTGATTTCTCCATTGCTTTCATAGCAGTCTTTTATTCTCCAATCTTTATTTTTATGATAAATTGGCTCCAAGTTTCAAGTTTCTTTTCCAATTTAGTTTATAATTGATTTTTTAACTTGGCTATTTAATTGAAACTCACCCTTGAACTTTTAATTTTTAATTTCAGCCAAATTAAACCAATTTAAACCCTTTTCTTCAATTTATTCTTCAACTCAATCTTCAATTATGACTCATAATTTTATAGTACTCAATTATTGGTATAATTTCATATATATATATTCTCTTTTCAACTCTTTTATTTGTATTGTTTTCTTTTAACGATTAACTCTAACCTAACACATAAAAATTAAAAAGAAAATGATCAAAATAACAAAAAAAAACAATTAAAACTATCTAAATTTACTGAAAAAAACTCATTTTTTTATTTTTTATTTTTACTTGAATTATAAAAACTGGAGGGGGTAAAAATTTGGGTTATAATACATATTATAAAATTCTATTATGCTATAAACAAGTTGTGTAGAGCTAGAAATTATAGTTCATGTAGGATCTTGTCTTTGTAACAATATGAAAAGGTCATTCAATTATTGGAAACAATAGCTAACCTAATAAACATGATTTATTCACATTTTTCTCTATAATGTATCCTATATTTATCACAATTCATATTTTGGCATGTGAAACACATCAAAGTTTAAGCTTACTCCTCCTTTATTAAAAATTAAAAATTTTATATCATTATTTTTATTCTCCATTCAAAAACTTTGATTTTAATTTAAAAAACTAAAGATGTTCTAAGGCTACTAGTTTTTTTTTAGACGGAGATGAAAGGGTATTTAGGGTGCTATTTTTTAAAATAAATAAAAATAAAAATCTTTGTATGCAGAATAAAAATTATGATATTAAATTTTATTTTTAAAATTTAAAATTGATTCCATGTAAAAAACTTAAAATCAATCAGTTAAGTAAAGGTTATTGAAATTGAGGGTATTTAAGTTATTTAATTATTTTTAGATGCAAAACATGGAGGTAACTATGAAAAAAATAACAAAAAGCACTTGATTTAAAAAATATCAAAATATAGGGAGGTCAAAACTAAAATTAAGAACTAATTCTCAAATGACTTTAAATTCAAGGAAAGCTTGGGAGCCTATATATTTGCTATAATAATGAGTTATAATTTAAAAGGTATAATTAAATATTTTTCAAAGAATTAGGACAAAACTGTAAGCTTTTAAAATTTTACTGACATTATGATGCTCGTCCTTGCACATAGTTATAGCCTAAATAAAACAAGTATATATAAGAATGATAAGAATGATGGAAAACCACTATAATACCTTATTAATTAATTTGATTGTATTAATCTTTCTATATATATATATATATAAATTGATCAAACGCCATTGGTTTATTTAATGATATCTAATGAGTAGTTGAAATGTGTTTTCTGGTAAACAAAGAATTTTTTAAAATAGAAAATTAGTTTTACTAGTCAAAATTTATAACTTTGAAAAAAATAGGAAAGAAATTTTAGGATTATAATTGAAGGTTTTAATTGAAAGCAGAGATTTGGTTTGTTTTTGTTATCAAAATTGTGTTTCAAAAACATATTTAGCATGAAAAAATAATAAATTAATATTTTATAATAATTCTAATGCATTGATATAAAAAAAAAAAAATCATTTTAATACAATTTATTTTTTAAATGCTTTACATCACACAACCAAGTACATTCTCCAAAGCATTTGAAGATTTTACTTGAAAGGTATAAAACCAACAAACGAACGTGAGTGAACTGGTCTATGTGTTGTGGCCCATTCAATGCAGATATACTGGGTAAATAAAAAAAACTTAAGTTGGATAAAAAAGCAAAATTTCCATTCTTCTTGGAAATGAACTGGGCTATGTGTTGTGGCCCATTCCCTTCTTTCATCTTGGTAAAGGGTGATTTCCCCCGACTCCCCACTGAAGCATTTCAACTTCGACAAACATGAAGTGACATGGTAAGAAAATCTGACAACATGCTGTTGTAACTATACTCCCATATAGATCTTCTTAGTTCTTCCTGAATCCCAACAACAATGGTTAGATGCACTTCTAAGAAGAGTGCTAGTTTCTTCCTTAGAAAACACAGGAAATGGCCATATTCACCTTACAAGGCCAGATGGCACAGAATTTTCAATCAACAACAAGCCATGCAATCTCTTAAACAATCAGCCCTAAAACCGCCGCAACAAGAATCTCCCCACAAACCTCATCTTCTATCTTCTCTTATTCACTCCTTTGGCATCTACGATGTTGAACCAACCCCTAAAGCCTTTGACTTTATATTCAAAACCCTCGTTAAAACCTCTCAGTTCCATCACATTCCTTCAGTTCTTGACCATCTCGAAAAAGTTGAAAGCTTTGAACCACCTGAATCTACTTTTGCTTATCTGATTGAAGTTTATGGCAGAACTAATAAAACCCAAGAAGCAATTGAGTTGTTTTACAGAATCCCAAAGTTTAGATGTGTCCCTTCTGTCTACTCGCTCAATACTCTGATTTCAGTTCTTTGTAGAAACAGTAAAGGTTTAAAGTCGGTGCCTGAAATCTTGTTGAAGAGTCAGGTTATGAATATTCGAGTGGAAGAATCAACTTTTCAGGTATTGATTACTGCTCTTTGTAGGATTAGAAAGGTGGGTTTTGCTATTGAGATGCTGAATTGTATGGTGAATGATGGGTTTATTGTAAATGCAGAAATATATTCGTTGTTGTTGTCATCTCTCTGTGAACAGAAAGATGCAACTAAATTCGAGGTCATGGGGTTTTTAGAGCAATTGAGGAAGTTAGGATTTTTCCCTGGAATGGTGGATTATAGTAATGTTATTAGATTTTTAGTCAAAGGAAAAAGGGGTTTGGATGCTTTGCATGTTTTGAATCACATGAAATCAGATAGAATTAAGCCTGATATCTTTTGCTACACTATGGTTTTGCATGGGGTGATTGAAGCTAAGGATTATTTGAAGGCGGATGAGTTGTTCGATGAGTTGCTTGTTTATGGTTTGGTTCCTGATGCTTATACTTACAATGTGTATATAAATGGTTTGTGTAAGCAAAATAATGTCCAAGCGGGGATCAAGATGGTTGCTAGCATGGAGGAATTGGGATGCAAGCCTAATTTGATTACTTATAATATGTTAGTGAAGCAGTTGTGTAAGGTTGGAGAACTTAGTAAGGCAGGCGATCTTGTGAGGGAGATGGGAGTGAAAGGAATTGGGCTAAATATGCAGACATATAGGATAATGATTGATGGCTTAGCAAGCAATGGTAAAATTGTTGAAGCATGTGGTTTATTTGAGGAAGCATTGGATAAGCGTTTATGCACTCAGCGTTTGTTGCTTGATGAGATAATTTGTGGTTTAGGTGATAGAGACCTAAGTTGTAAAGCACTCGAATTACTTGAGAAAATGGTTGGTAAGAATGTTTCTCCTGGCGCTAGAGCCTGGAAAGCGCTTCTCCTTAGCTCTGGATTCAAACTTGATTGTGTGGAGACTAAATTGTTTAGTTTGGTGGACTCAAATCAAACTCAATTAAGCAGTGAGAATGTTGCTGTTGAGTAATAAACCTTTTGAACTATAGAAATGGTTGAAGTTAGCGGTGAAAAGTTTTGAGCCTAGGGAGAGTTTTTCATCTTCTGGGGTAGTGGATCTACAAATAAATTGTGTTTGTTGGATTTTCATTAATGATGCTTCAGTGGAGTGTTGGCAACGTTAATAACTTTCAACTAACTGGCAGATTATGAATTTTCAAACAAATTAAAAAATACAAATGATCTGCTATGGCTGAAGCATCAAGTTGCAAATTCAAAGTTTCTATTCAGAAGCTAAGTTCTACAGTGCATGGATGCCTATGTGGTTTGAGCACTAATGGTGCCTTTGTTTGATTCTATCCTTCAATGGGCACATGCAGCTAGACTGTTCTGAATGCAAAATCATGCCTAATATTTATGCCTTTTGGCCCTTCCCCGATTTTACGAATTGCAAGGCATGCACTTAATATTGAAGGACCAACATCTAACTCCAGGTATTCTCTCTGTCTATGTGTCCATTGCATAAGATGGGCATGTAAATGCTATTGTGGTGTGTTCTGGGTCAGTCTCGTTTTGCTTGTTTTGATAACTTTGCCTTCTTGAATGGAACCTAAGCACTTTAGACTTGAGTTACTGAATTTGATTGGCATACTAATTTAAACCTAATAAGAGCTTGCCTCAACACTTTTCTTTTCAGTTGCTATTTTTTCACTAATTTTGAATCATCGATTTTCAAGTTCAATCCTATGATCTTTCTCACAATGCCTGTCCATTTATTTCTTTTGATTTGTCTCTTGCAGTGTCTTAAATTTACTACCGAGTACATTCATCTGTAAGGTGAATTCTGGGAGACAAGAACTTTAATAGATAGGATGTAGATCTCCAACAAATGCTGGAGTTAAGAGTTCGGAAGCTTAGCAGAGAGCTGTTGTTGGTTACTCATATTTGGTTTTTGTTATTTTTATCATGTCATCATATTACATATTGGAATAGGTCCCAAATGGTTTAGATCAATAGTTCTATGTTGGAGCAGCTTCTTTTACTTGTTCAGCTTTTTTAGCTCCCAGAATGCATGCAAGGCCAAACTCCACCAACACTTGTTTTAGAACTTGTAGCCTGAAAAGCTGGGTCCTTTCTGAGGTATAAGGTTGATCAGATCAAGGTATGAGTTCATCCTAGGAACCTAAAATGTTGTTCAAGATTGGTTCAAAATTGAAGTACGGTATTTGTGGAAGTTTCATTTTTTTGGCAGAAATTTATAATTCAGATCTTGTTTGTTTTCAAATAGTCCAGCTGATGTAGCCCTCTGTCTCACTAATCCTCCTCTCCACGGAATTGATGCTTGGATTTGATTAGTGGTGATGAAGTGACTTGATTATTGATGCGTGTTTTTGCTATCATCTCATCTCTTTACATGTCATTGTTTTCAATGACAGGCCTGTGAATCATTTGGTAGATTAATTGGTAAACCAGCACACAGCGTCTAGAATAGTCTAAATTCGGGTATTTTGCATGATCAAATTTAAATCTTTTATGGTCAAGGTTCATACGGCATTTGCGATTATTAAATTTACTTGCTGAATCTGGATGGTGAATGCTTGCCAAACTCTTGGCTTTCATTGGTTGAGTTTTCATATGGATTATAGACTTGATAGATGGGATATTTTGGTTGATTTCTTATTCGACTAAACCTCTCCAGTGTCCACTTGTCATGTGCTTTCTTTATCATATATCATCAAGCTCAGCGTCTTCAATCGTATAAAGTCTGCCTTTCCTATCCCTGAAAACAGCCAAAACTCTTGCAGTGTCTTCTCAATAGAATTTGTTTTGAAGACCACCAAGATAGAAGAACAAACTAAACAACTGGTGTTAGACTCTGTCGTCACTTGCTACCACCTGTCTAGAGTAATGTGCACAAGCCTCTTGCAAGTCTGATATAGTTGCAGGGAGTGAGGAGGTGAAATTAAATTAAATTTGCTCTATTTCTGTCCAAGCTTGTAGAATATGTACAGTGATTTTGGACAATTTATTAATGCAATCATTAATCACCTGAAATACGGTGAACTACAAATTTAACATATTTTTCGGGTTAGGTAAAACAAGCAAGACAGTTAAAAACTCGAAAATAGCAGCGAAGTCTTCAGGTCAGCTGACAAGCTTAGGTTTGTGATAAATTGGTTGGAGCTGGCTCTTGCCAGGAATTGTTATGGAGTGTATTTAGTCGGAGAATCCACATCACTAGTGGTTGTTTTGAATTTGCTGATATATTTAGATTTTAGTTTTTGCTCCGTAAAATAAGCCAGTTTTCTTTTGCCTTTTGCCCCCTCTTTTCCACTCATGCCGTCAATATCTTTTGCGGCTCAAACTGTAAAATTCAAGTCTTAGACTAGAAGACAGTGAAAACCTTCAGCATGAGTTGGTGGTAGAATAATTTTGTTCCGCAACTCCTAGGAGAATTCTATATATTTGGCAAAGGATGGTTAAAAATTCACTGGCTTTCCAACTCCAGTGGGAGAACAACTCCATATAAGCCACCATAAAGAGCAGGAAAAATATGTGTGTATATATATATATATATATATATATATATATATATATATATATATATATATATATATATATATATTCATTCACTTTCTGCCTTTTCGTTTGAAAGGACTTTCGTGAAGTGGACTTTTTAGGTGCTACAAGGACTTCTCTTTCAATTGTTGAAAGTTTAACGTCCATTTCTGAAACAACACAGCATAAACAGTATATCAGTAAAGTTTTTTTTTTTTAATGTATATAATTATCACAAGCATTATTAAAAAGAATCTAAATATGTTTATATTTTCTTTACAATTAAATTTTTTTTTGCAAATAAAATATATGATGTGAGATCGAGTATAAAAAAAAATGATATCAGAAAAAATAATGCTTAACTAAGAATTAATACATAAAATTAGTATATCATTATGCCTCAGTATTGTGCTTATGTATATTGTGTAAAGAAGAGGTAAAATCCATATGGGATAAAAATCTAGAATGCAGATCTGAGCTGATCTAATCCACACAATCAATACTCATTAATCTCTCGATTCCGACCACCATATATATATATTGGTGCCACCACTTAAAAGCTTACATTAATTTCTTGAATTTGATCCATTTGTTGCAGGTTTTTTTTTTAATGGTGCAATTACTTTATTTTTATTATCACAGAGTTGTCTTTAAAAAAAAAAAAGAATCACCAAATTGGAGCCTGGACTGCGAAGCCCGAAGCTCGGTGTCGTATATGGGTCAAACTCGGCTACAAATCAGCCGGAATACATAGCCGGCCCGATGGACACTCATGAGCAAAAACAAAGCAAAGTCCAGATTAACCTGACTTGAATCCTGATGCAATGGATCCATTAATCTCAACGCATGATCATGCTCCATGTGAAATAATTGCTTTTATTATTATATAAGAAATGTTTGAACTCCAGATCTTTTAGAGAAAGGAAAGGCATAAATATTAGTTGAGGTACAACTCATTGATGCTTCACTTTTTTTTCTTTTTTTTCCCCTTAAAAGAAGAGAGAAAATGATAATGTAAACGACAACACAAAATCTTTACGTTCCATAAAAAAGGCAACATATATAATCGTTAACAAAGTGAAAATGATAACTTAATGAAGGAGCAAAGAGAAAGCGAAAGATATGCATTACATGTAAAAGGCCACATATCATTTTCTAGTAAGAAGGCAAGATGCTGTGAATGGCATTTCATTGTCATTCCGACGAGGATGAGAGGGAAAAGAGCTAAATATTTTGACGGAACGGAGACATTTTATACGGTGGCTTTTGCTGCTATCTTGTCCTGTCCCCCACATGGTAGCCCCCAAAGTGCTATATCCCACACGTTTCTTGGAAAATCAGGCCTCAGTTGGTTTGCTCCATGTTTCCCTAATTCTTCTTATTGGTGAAGAATGAGAGCAGCATTGACAGACACCCTCTTTAACAACCGTTACCACTTCATGGTGGAAGGAGTAGAGAAAAGGAAGCTAACCCTAATTAATGATCAACAAGAAACATCTCGGAAGAGTTCAGTCGCATTCATATAAATAAATAATGTATTAAGACAACCATAACTCTTCCAAACATTAAAACAAAATATCATAACAATATTATTAAATAATTCTCAAATAAAAACTTTTGTCTAAAACATAAAGTTGACTGCTATATATCTTTACAATTATATGAAAATTAAAATTACAGCACAGCAATGAGCAATGTATAATAATGGTTGGCATGACTTGTCAATGTAAATACTCTTATGCTTCTAAAATGTCGCTGTCTCTCTGTATTTTTTTTTTTTTGAGACTCTAAATGCTGGTTCCACAAAAAGAAAGCATTACATAAAAGATCAATACCATCGTGAAATCCTGGAGAAAACTTTGTTTATATTACACACACACAGATACATACATATATATATATATAACTGCTAGAGAAGTGCACATGAAAAGCAATATCTACTACTTATCAATCGGCTAAAGTAACACTCTCTTCATGCTTGCAAGTGAGGTTTAAAATTTTAAAATTCAATTCTAGAATCCAATAAAGATAATTATTTTAAATATTTTCCTTACAGGGTTTACTTCACAAAATAATGAGGGAGGTAGAGGAGAAATGTTATTTCATAAGAAAAAACAACTACAATAGATTATGGAGAATTATAAATATTATATCATGGGATTAATGTTGATAATTGATCCTGCTAGCTGGTTATTTTTTTTATGCAATCTATTCTTCTGAAATAATATGGCTAGAGATTACTAATTAAGCTAGTCAGCAAAACTAGAAGAGAGAGAAGAATTCATTTTTTTTCTTGTTATATTGCTTCGGCCATTGACTTTGTTATATTTTTACTGTGTTTTCGATGATTACAGAGAGAGAGAGAGAGAGAGAGAGAGGAAATGTTACGTCAAAAAACAAAAAACACCATAGATTACGAAAAAATTACAAATATTAACCCATTAATTGGAGTTGCTAGTACTGCCGGACACTTTGGCAATTTTTTCTTGGGAAATGACATCTCTCGAGATTATATAGATATAGTACAAAACAAATCCTCTGGTGATAGTTGGATCAAGCTTCACTGCTAATTAATATTACTATCTTTATCCACAATGACATTTTTGTTTAAAAATATATCACTCACCAGCTCACAATTTGCAATATGAAAATATTATATATCCACTCGGATAGGACATCCATGAAGTGCAAATCTTTTCTTGATCTTTATCCCCACAGTCAATGCATTTTTTTATTACTTTGCTTCACAAATATTATATTTATTACACGGGCATATATTTGTGTGTATCTATATCAACATATGATATGACTAGAGCTTAAACACAGTAGAAATTTATGTCTTTCGACCATAAGAGAAAAGAAAAGTAGTTGGGTATGCAATGCTTATGTAGCCATAGCTTCACAAAAACCACAGTCGATAAATTATTCTAATTAGTATCTGATATTGGTTTGGATACGACCCACCTGCATGCATGGATTCAGCACCTGAACCGGAGATTCTCCTACTTGAAGTACCCGAGATGGAGCAATATAGCTAGGTGTGGTAGTGATCATGATGGGGAAGAAAGGCACATGAATAACTAACTCACTGGAGCTAACAAAATCAATCGTAGGTAAGAGTCGTAACTCGTAGCTCCAGCAAGAAATGCGTCTCCCTCTCTGTGTGCATGAGTTAGTAGTGCACGTGCCCTGCTTCTCCATCTTGCTCACAAACACCCCTTCTCTTCGTTCGATGCCACTACTATAACTCTAGCTAGAAATTAAGCCTAACTACCTCAAGAAAATGAGAGAGAAAGAGAGGGGAGAGGTCCTAAAATGGTGAATTTGGGACACCTATCTGCAGTTTTCAATACCCAGTGTCCACTAATTTATAACAAAAGAGGTAAATGGATGTGTGTTCGAAGGTGGTTGCGAGGCAAGAAATGAAAAGGCTTAGTTGGATGTGGGACCTTATGAGTTTGCAAACCAATTTACCTCAAACACAGCTTGTCACAACCATCATGAATAGCTTTGGACCACAGCATCACTAACACAAAGTACATTTATTTACATCTAGCTATACCCTGTAGCTTCCAATTCTTAATTCAAGACAACCAAACCGAATCCAATTGTATTGTTGGGGGCACCTGATGAACTGTAGTTACAATTAATGCATTCACAACAGCGCGTTTAAGTATATTCATGCATTACTTCTTATCCATGGGAGGGAAATTAAGCCACGATAGTTAAATAAATCTATCAAGATCTTAACAATTCATAAGCTTTAGATCCTTTACTCATCACGAACGGCTTCGTTAGTGTTTTCATGTATCACAATCATATCTCTTGCGACAAGTTTAAAAAAAGAAGAAGTTATGTGTCAAGAGCATTGTTATCGAAATTCAAGCCCATAATATTTTCTCTTTTAAAAAGAATTTTCTTTCACCATGCTTTTTTTCTATTTCTAATACCAAACAATATTAAGGAAATCAAAATTAACCATACGGGGCAGAATGACCCTTACATAATTGACGAATGACAAGGAATCCAAAGCCATAGGTGGTTTGTCAAGAGAATAAATAAACTACAATTGCTAACCAGTTCACAGAAAGAGTTTCTAACATGTATCTCTTAGTTAGCTACCATCCATGTATGCATGTAACAGCGCAGGCGCCTAGTTAAGCACGAAGTGATGTTTATTTAGTTGTTTTAATTGTTCATAAGACATGACATGTTCAAATTTGAGATTTTTTTGAGAAAGGAAGGGCACTAATATAAATTTAAACTACAATTTGAATAATTTTCACTTAAGAGAAAAGGAAAAACGGTAGAACTTCTAGCTCGTTCTCTTCATTTGTCTATGAGTTTTAATATGTTTTTTTTTTTTTAGTTTAACCAACTTTTGATCCAAAAAGTAGGTTAAGATTCAAAGCAAACAGGTAGTTAGGAAAAAGAACAAATATATATTCACTTTACTGGTGAAGAGCATAAATATTGCAGGTCACTATAATAATCGCTACTTATATTAAAGTATTAGGTGGTAGTATGATTAAGTTAGGTTCCCTAGAATCCATATAATTATAACTGCATATTTATTACGGATGTCCCAACGCCATTGTCCATGGACAGTGATGATAATAACTAGCTAGGTTGGCAAAATATCCGAGCTCATCACAGGCATCTTGTTCCATAATGAATTACCAATGCCCTCCATTGTGGTCTCATGTCTCAACCCCACCCCTCTAGCCGAAGGTGGATATAAAACCAAACCCTTTGTCACTTTCAGTTCGGAGATCCGCGCTGTCCTAACATGATCTTCCATATAGATTGGAATATTGACTCCTTAGAAGAATTTGGACGTGTTTTCAATGCAAATGACATTTCATTTTCCTTATTTATCTGGATACAAGTAGTGATGTGTTTTATATATAAAACTGGAAAAATAATCTCCATAATGATTCAAGATTCGATTTCCAGAAGATACATTAATGCTAGTTTCTCTTTCTTGCTTTTTTTTTTTTCCAATGAAGATAGATTGATTTAAAAAGGGAAATTAAATAGCTAGCAAGATAGTTGCCAGATAGTTTACAAAGAATTGTTAAAAAAGTCAATAATTCCTCATTTTCTTTTTATAAAGTCTATAGATAGTTAGATTTACATATAGATAGCTAGATTTAAATTTGTATTTATTTCAAGTGTGTTTTACTTAATATGGAAGTCTACAATTCTAGTATTTATACATATTATAACACGACAACAAAAGTTATGACGGTGATTTCAAAATCTCTTCATGCTATCAATGCAACGTTAAGGAATTCACATCCTTTGGTCCTATGGCCTCTAACACATCATTCTCCTCCTTGTCCTTCAACATTATGGTACACCTTTTAACCATTAAATTATCTTCTTCTAACTATCTTCTTTGGCGTAGTCAAGTATTACCACTGTTGAAAATCCTAATATCTCTTTGGATATTTTAATGATTATGTTACCATGTCTTCTGCAACTGATGCTTCTGGCTTTGAAAATCCAGAACCTGTTGAGTGGCAACAAATGGATCAACTTGTGCTGAGCCTTATACTTTCTTCCTTAACTGAGGAAGCCATGTCTATTGTTGTTGGATTACCTTTCTCTCATGCAGTTTGGTCTATGCTGGAGACCACTTTCAGTCATCGTTCCAAATCTTGTGAGCTACGTATCGAAGATGACCTGCAGCACATGAAGAAAAACTCATGTAGTGCTGTAGAATTTTTCTGAGATTCAAATCCAATTGCGATTAGTTGGATGTTATGGGCAGACCTGTTGATGACCTTGACAAACTTCACTGGTATTTGTGTGGTCTTGGTTCTGAATTTTCTATCTTTTCTACCACTCAACTGTCAATTTCACCTCTTCCATCATATACTGAAATTGTTCCAAAGGCCGAAAACTATGAAATCTTTGTTCAATCATTGGAGTCATCTTCTTATACAAGCTCCCCTGCTGCTTTTACTACATCTCACAATGCTATTACATCTCGCAATACTTACGGTCTCATCAATTCTGGTCGTGGAAGTGGCCATCATTTTCGCGGTGGTCATGACAAGGGTTTTCGTAACAATCATAATCGTCCGATTCGATGCCAAATTTGTCATGTTGAAGGTCATTATACATCCTCATGAAGTGATCGATATTCTCGTCCTTCAGAATCAACACATTTAATGGAAGCATTCACTCCCTGCTCACTCAATGATAGTCAAACCTCTAATTGCTACACTGATACTAGCATAACAACTCATATGATTCATGATGTCACTCAATTGGGAAAAATCGATACATTACCAGTGAGGATTGTGTTGTTGTTGTTAGTAATGGTGCCTCACTTCCAATTTCTCATCCTACTACTTTTTCCCTAACTTCCTTACTTAAATTACTAGATGTTTTAGTTGTGACTGGACTCACCAAAAATATTATATCTATGACTAAACTTATATATGATTTTCCTTATTATATCACCTTTATTAAAGATCTTTTTGTCAGATGGAATTTAGTCACAAGAAAAGGGGTGGTAACCGGTCAATATGAAAATGGCCTATATATATATGCTTAAACGTGGACATCATTCTTTAATTTCTACTCATTATACATGAGCATTTTTTCATGTTTGGCATGCTTATTTAGGTTATGAATCTAATTCCATTATTTCTCTTTTGAATGATAATCATCAGTTGTGTGTAATTACATTGCTTCTAAATCCTATTGCTTTCTTCAGTTGTCAGCTTGCTAAGAGTTATCATCCTCCCTTTTAACCTAATGATAAATGTGCTTTATCTGTATTAGTACTTGTTCACTGTGATTTATGGGGTTCATCCCCTATCTCTTTAACTATTAGCTTTAAATATTATGTAATTTATTAAGGATTATTCTAGATTTGCATGGTGGTTCTATCTTTTAAAATTTAAATCATATTTTTTTGTACTTTAATTTATTCAATTTCAAAAATTTATGAAGAAAAAATTTTCAATTAAAATCAAGATTTTTTTAAAGTGATGGTGAAATTGAATTTACATGTCATAAATTTAAGGACTAAATAATTCAATCTGGAATTCATCATGGCCTATCTTATCCATACTTTATCTTAAAATAGGAGTGCAAAGTGTAAATATTAATATATAATTGAAACTGAACTTGCTATGCTTTTTCATTCTTATATTCCTTTAAAATTTTGGGTTGATGTTTTTAACACTACCACTTTTATTATTAATTGGTTGTCAACTCCTACTCTTCATAGTATGTCCCCATTTGAAATGTTAGTCTATTTCATTCTTTGCTTACCATATTCTCTGCTTACCATATGTGAGCTTAAAAGTTTCAAATCTATAGCTAAGCAACTGGGTTGGATAGTTGCGATATATGATAAAATTCAGGCTCTTTAACATAATAACACATAGGATTTGGTTCCTCAACCAACTCATAACAATATGGTGAGTTTTAAATGGGTTTATCAAGTTTAATAAATATTTATCAAATGACTTTGTGGATTGTCTTAAAGCTTGACTTGTTGCGTAAGAATACACTTAACTGCCAGGTTTAGATTTTATTGACGCTTTTAGTCTTGCTATTAAGGTCTTTATAATTTAGGTTATGTTATCCTTAGCTATTTTAAATCATTAGCCTCTATATCAATTTGATGTTAAGAATGTGTTTTTAATGATTTTTTTTATAGGAATAAGTATATATGAAATAACCGCTTGATTATATTGATTCTTAATATCCCACGTATGTGTGTAAACTCTGCAAAGCACTTTACGGACTTAAACAAACTCTTAAGGCTTGGTTCAATAATTTTAGCACAATTATCTTAAATGTTGGATTTTTATCTAGTCATGCTGATTCATTATTATTCATTTTCTCCAATGATGATAATTTTATTTATTTATTATTATATGTTGATGATATTATTATCATTCGCAACAATTTAACTCTTTTTGATGACTTTATTAGCAGATTAACAAAAGAATTTGCTACTAAGGATATGCGATCCCTAGTTATTTTTCAAGTTTAGAAGTTCATCAACATTCTAATAGTTTTTTACTAAGTTATGCTTAGTGAACAATTAATGGATTGTAAACCAATAAGTGGTCTTAAGGTAGTTGCTCAATATCTCTCTAGCACTAGTCCTGACTTTGATTATCCATCCTTCTATCGATCTTTTGTTAGGCTATTTAATACCTCATGATCACCAGACCTAACATGGCTCATATTGTCATTATTATCAATCAATTCATGCACATGCCATATATTGCTCATTTTTAAGCTGTAAAATGAATTCTTTGCTATATTAAATGCATTATTTAATTTGGTTTATCTCTAACACGGTCTTTTTCACTAGCT